GCTCAAATTTTTAATTATTTCGCAACCTAATTTTCTCCAAATAGTACATTTGCATATCCTCTAATGGAAAGTTATCAGCAGCAATCGGTCGCAAAGTTATTAACCATGATTATTATATATTGTTGGAGATTTTGAGGTCCAAATATTGTCCATAGGCTATAAATCGAGATCTCATTTTTTATAATCCTCCTTAACACCCTGCAGCTGCTATGACTCGAGGTGGAAGTTAACATTAAGATGGTGTTGGTGATAAGTATGGAAGTTTGTCTTGTCATAGCTTCTCGAATTTGTCAAAGTATACTGTCTGTTGAACTATAAAATATTTTTGGAGAAAACATAACCATTTACAGCGGAACCAATTACACTCTTTTCCTAATCAGCTTCAGTTATTGTGATTTCTAGTAGGATTTTTTTAATTTTAGGATGTAATTAATTTAATGGTATCAAGATCTAGCTGAAGAAATAAATTGTGTTTGAGCTTTGACGAGTATACAGAGGCTCCTACCAACTTCCTACTGGCTACAACGGTTTATTCCCCTTACATTATGCAGAGCTTATTCCCCAAAGACCTGCCTCTTCACCTAATCATTATTAATCGGTAAAATTAACTAAAATTAAATTATCATTTCATACTAGGCTTTTAACTACTAGGTTACGCCTTTAGAACATAGCATCCGTAAATCCTATATCCTCAGTTTCCATACTCAAGGTTTACTCTTACATTATGGCGAAGAATTTAATCCAATCCGTACCCGAAAACACCACAGGATCTACCAGACTATCAACTCTATCTTCATACATCATCCAGAAGCTTACTTTAACCCCCAGAAAAGTAACTAGTTGAAAGGTTCCTTACATTAATATGCCTTTTTTGGGACTAGGGTTACCACACTATCTCTGAGAGCGCTGCTTCTTCGTGAATTCCCTGCATTCTTTATCATCAGAATCGATGCAAAGTCCAACGAATGTCGTCAAATCCGCTTCTACATACATAAAATAGGTGCACCATTAGGACGTCTCATCACAATGCAGCACACTACCTCAGTCTCTTTGCTCCATTTCTTCATGTATCCGCTTCTATGTGTCTCGACACGTCCCGATGCCGACTAAAGTTTTTGTGCTACATACCTCCAACCTTGTTCATTTCCTCAGATCTTATTCTTCTATCCTCAATATTTCTATCATGTCCAAGACAATGTATAAGCTGTCAGGAACTAGATCACAAAATCCCATTATTTTCCAGAATTAAGGGAAGACTTAGCCTGTCCCAAATATACGGTCGCTTATTCTGTACGTTCTGCCATCTAGCTGAAATGTCTCATTTTGTTGAGCTAGGCCGTTACTGTTACTATTCGGATATTAAGATAATTATTGATCATTTCATACAGTTTATGACTGCATATATGCTAATACCATGCCTTAATCTCTGTATTTCTTTACTTATTTCTCTAGCCTACACATATGGGACACCACTAACATATCATGCCCCACTCGGGTCGATTCACTTTTTTACCACTCTCGTTCTGTCTGGCATGTGGAGACCTACCCTTACCAGCTTTTTATCCAGGGCCAACTTGATGAAGCAACTGAGGATAGCACCCGCATTTCCGTTTGCCCCAATTGCGGTCTTATGCCCTCCGTGATTACAGACTCCACTTCCACTCCTCTATCTGCATCCTCTTTCTGTGTCTGCTCTGATGGACGTATTTCGAGTTATCCTCGTTCCTACCCACAGACCTTTAAAGGAGGCCTGGATTCTTTCATTACCTGTTCTGATGACGGTACTGTTCGCTTTTGGAAATTATTGCAGGATGGGCGCTTGGAGACTCCTCGACTCTATTCACCGAAAGCCCCGACGTTCGGCGATGTGGTACGCTTTTATCAAGAACTAGTTTTTATCTAAGCATATTTTTCTTATTTTACTCTCATTACACGTTTTTATTCATACCTTTAATCTTAACTTTACTTTGCAAACCTCACGTAACATTTAACCGATAGTTTCGAAGTTGCAGCTATTTGTGAAACTTTGGTTTCCTACCAATCCTTCATTTTCTTCCACTATCACTACGACTATGATACTGACTATTGTCTTTAATATCATAAAGTTTACTGTATTAGACGCGACTACTATCATCGTTGGATCGTTGACCATCACCTTCGTCGCTGATCCACATAGGCTACTCTATGGTTGTCTTGTAAATTTCTTCCACTCGAAAAGTAACAATCCATTGAAATTGCCTCTATTAGTAAATATTAAAATCCTCAAGCTTCTGGCTGAAGCCTATTATAAATTTAAGATGTCTAAACTTTGCAGGTATCCGCAAGATCTGGCTTTTCCTATGATGTTTTGAGGAAAGCAAGGCTATGTGAAATTCAATGGAAACGTAGACTGTACTCATATCATTGTGTGAAAATTCCACTACCAGTCCTTCATCATCCTAAACGAAATAGGGTGAATAAATCTCATATAACTGAATATATGAAGACCAAGATGTTGTGGCCTCTGTTATGGTCGCAGTCTCCTTTCGATTTATAGAAGT